AAAAAAAAAAAATCACCAGGATAATTTTGTATTGTAATTGCTTTGTGATTGAAGGTAGATGAAAGCCAACATAAATGACAGAGTTTGATTTTCTATTCAGTTGAATCTAAGGCAAAAAACCATTTTGCAGCAATCTTTTGGGTTCTTAGAAACCTTGATACAGTTTCATTCTTTACCTCTTTTGTAGGTGCCTCAGCCCAGTAGGTGGTAACTCAGTCCTCCCTCTCTCAAATAAAAAAAAAAAATCTTTAAAAAAAAAAAAAAAAGAATGGTTAAAATGACAGCTCAGTGACATTAAATACATTCCCATTGCTGTGCGGCCAGTAACAGCGTCCATGTTCAGAACTATTTTCATGTTGCAAAACTGGAACTCTGTATTTTTTAAAACCGTCACTCCCCATTCCTCCTTCCCATCCCTTGCCAACCGCCATTCTGCTTTCTGTGTCTATGGATTTGTCTGCTCTCAGTATCTCACGTAAGTGGAACCATACAGTATTTGTTCTTTTGTGACTGGCTTATTTCACATAGCATAACGTCCTCAAGGTTTGTCCATGTGATAGCATGTATTGGAATTTCTTTCCTTTTTATGAGGGCGTAATTCCATTGTATGTACATACTGCATTGTGTTTATCCATTCATCTATCAAAAGATGATCAGGGGGCTCCTGGGGGGCTCCATCGGTTAAGGATCTGCCTTCGGCTCAGGTCATGATCCAGGGTCCTGGGATCGAGCCCCGCATCGGGCTCCCTCCTCGGCGGGAAGCCTGCTTCTCCCTCTCCCACTCCCCCTGCTTGTGTTCCCTCTCTTGCTGTGTCAAATAAATAAATCTTAAAAAAAAAAAAAAATGACCAGGTTTCTTCCACCTTTGGCTGTTGTCAGTAATGCTGCTCTAAACGTGGGTGTAGCGTCTCCGCTTTTGAACAGGTCGTGCACTCCTATTGAGCCTTTAGATCTGACACGTTCCTGTTTTTCTGCCCCTGCCAGATAGCTGTGCTTTCTCAATACCCGTAACTTGACTTCCTCGACACTGCGTACTTATGAGAAAAGACGTTCAAGGGAATACTGCTGATTGAGTTGGAGAAATTAATTAGTGTGCTGAATTTAGACTTGTTTTTTTCTTTTGTTGTCACTCGTAGGGTTCGCAGTGATAGTGCAGGTGGACGAGCATCAGCATCTCAGCCGAATATTTATAAGTGATGTTCTCCCTGACGGCTTGGCATATGGAGAAGGTCCGTGTGGCACAGAGTGTCTCTGTCATCTCTTAATTCAAGACTATGGAATGCAGTCTGCCTAGTGAAATGTTCTTGTTGACAGTTTTGTCAGAAAATGGCTTCTCCTAGAACTAAAAAAAGGGCAAACTTAATAGTTTAATTGAATGCATATGCCTATATATGTGTGTATATATATATGGAGAGAGTATTTGGGGGGGTTTGTTTTGAAAGAGAGTATGTACACACACAGAGACAGTACAGTGCATGTGTACAGACAGATGGAGAAAGGAAGCGGGTAGCCAGGTAGACACAGACGAATGTTATTTCCCACGGCATTTAACATCAGGTAGAGGAATAATGAATTTGAATGATGGTCAAATGGTTTTCCCTTTTTTTTAAGATTTGTTTACTTTAGAGGGAGTGTGCAGGATCAGGGGAGGGGCAGAGGGAAAGAATCTGCAGCAGAGTCCCCCAGGGCGACGAGGGGCTCCGGCTCAAGACCCTGACTGAGATCATGACCTGAGCCGAAATCAAGAGTCGGACACTCAACCGACTGAGCCATCCACGCGCTCTTGGTTTTCTTTTTCAACCTGTTCCTTCTGGGGACACCTGGCTGGCTCAGTCCGTTGAGCACACTACTCTTGATCTCCAGGTCGTGAGTTTAAGCCCCACGTTGGGCAAAAAGCTTACTTAAAAAAAAAAAACCCAAAAACCAAAACCCCAAATTGTTCCTTTTAATCCCAGTTTTGAGAGAGCTGAAATGCGTTAGCAGCAGCATCCGGATACTGTGCGTTTTGGGCTTTGCTTTGAAGACAGCAGCAGGATGGTCCCTGAGAATACATGCTTTGAATTTGTGGCTGTCCTTCACCTTCATGTTAAATACTTCTCTCAGTAATCTCTCTTCTCTTCCTTTTCCTTGTTCTCAGGGTTGAGAAAGGGCAACGAAATCGTGACCTTAAATGGGGAAGCTGTGTCTGATCTTGACCTGAAGCAGATGGAAGCCTTGTTTTCTGAGCAGAGCGTTGGGCTCACTCTGATTGCCCGGCCGCCAGACACAAAAGGCACCTTGTGTTCGTCCTGGTCAGACAGTGACCTGTTCTCAAGGGACCAGAGGAGTCTGCTGCCCCCTCCGAACCAGTCCCAGCTTCTGGAGGAGTTCCTGGATAACTTTAAAAAGAATACAACCAATGGTAAGGCTGTGTTCTTTCTTCCTTCTTCATTGCTGGTATCAACAGCTGATAATTTTAGGCTGTATATTTTGCTTGCAAACTAGATTATTTAGGCTGTTCAAAGAATGTTTTCTCATTTATTAGGAGAAGAACACAGATGCCAACCCAGTAGATTTAATCAAAATTTCATGCACTGTGGAAATCATAACACTTTCATGAAAATAGAAAATAAATTTCTGTACAAAAGAATATCCTTTAAAATAGCAGAATCTTTAAAAAAAAAAAAATCACCAGGATAATTTTGTATTGTAATTGCTTTGTGATTGAAGGTAGATGAAAGCCAACATAAATGACAGAGTTTGATTTTCTATTCAGTTGAATCTAAGGCAAAAAACCATTTTGCAGCAATCTTTTGGGTTCTTAGAAACCTTGATACAGTTTCATTCTTTACCTCTTTTGTAGGTGCCTCAGCCCAGTAGGTGGTAACTCAGTCTCATAATTCTTTACCTCTTTTGTTAAGTGACTGCTTTCTCAATAAACTGCGAACTTTTCATGTAGGTCGTAAATTTTAAAATTTTGGCAAGGCCTAAAAATGAAAAGTTGTATGCCAGCTTATTTTTCTAAAGGTAAAATTTCCACATGAGGAAATAATCTGAAGGTCTGGATTTCTGACTTTATTAATTCATGCATAATTCATGTGTTGCAGGCAAGTAAATCAGAGGCTCCAGTTATTACTGAAAACCTGTAGTTTCTCTCTGTATTCCTGGAGGAAGCTGGTCAAGCCCTGACATGAGACAGAGAGCATAGGGTGTTTATGTTAAGTGCACACAAAGGAATTTTTTTTAGATTTTATTTGTTTCTTTAGGGGGTGGGGCAGAGGGAGAGGAGAGAGAATCTCAAGCAGGCTTCTGCACTGAGCACCATGCCTGATGTGGGGCTCAGTCTCACGACCCTGAGATCACGACCTGAATTGAAACCAAGAGTCGGATGCTCAATGGACTGAGCCACCCAGGTTCCCCCACACAAAGGAACGTTTATACTTAATTGCAGTGATAATGGATTTCCAGTGGAAATCTCTGCATGATTACTAGAAATGAATGAAAAACACAAAAAGAGGAGTTGTTCGGATAGATTTAATTATAAAGCAAGTTTATTAGGTCATTTTTGGAATTAAAAAATCAGATGTAAGATTTGTGATTCAATAAGGTATATAGTACTTTCTTCTCTTGGGGCTTCACTCCAATTTAAAATGCCATTAAATTGACTTGGCATATAAAAGTGGATATCATAAAGCAAAAATCATGATGGAACTAATTAATTACTTGGTTATATTAGGGGCATCACTCAGTGACCCTGGGCTCTGGTACAGGCCTGAGCATTCCACATAATACATGCATGTGTCCATTCGCTGGATTCATTATTCTTGAGGGATACATTCACTGCCCTTTATATCTCTATGTACTTTATCATAATGAGAAATTACTGCAGAGTCTATAACACTTTTGGTACTGCAGGAATGAATTTCTATAGAAAGCAGCAAAAATGGCAAATTTACCTTTTTTTTTTTTTTT